CCTTATCCATTGATTGAGAATTGAAAGATTATTTGCAACACATGATTGGTGACATTGACAAAAAAATCACAAGGATATAACCCCAACTCCATCTCATCAAAATGTCAATAATCCTCATGAACTATAACAAGTCAATGTCAGCCCTTCGAAAATTAAATTTAAGTTCTAATCACCACTCACCAGCTATGTTAAGCAACAATATAGTATTTGGTTTCAAGTCATTGGCAGTAGCAGCGGATGGATTCGTTTGCTCGGAACCTAGCTATCCTAGGTAGTTGTAACAGTTTGTCTGTGCGTATTAGTGCAAGTTAAGAACATTATCCAGGTATGATATGTAAATATTCCATGGATATTTCAACTACTTGTTGGGCCTGTTTTTCAGGGAAAATATGAAAGCAACAAAGAAATGATCAGATCGCCTGCTTTGGAATGGATCATTTATATAGATACTAGTTTTGTTACTCCCCCTTTTCCGGTCCCCTTACCCCGTAAAATGTCCAAAATTATAACACCACCGTTTCTTAATTTTGGGTCATCAATGTGAACTTTCTTCTGTTTTCTTATCTTCACATTCTGCCTAATTTCTTTCCCTCTGGCTGAGATTGCAAGCTTCCATGTGTTTAGAAATATAAAAATTTTGTGAAACATTGCAGATAAAATTGTGAATATATAATGATGATCATATTAATATCGATAGATGACACCGGACATAATCAACTGATCATCTATATCTTTTTGTTTATTAAATAAGAGTAGTGTGGAGGATTATCAATTATGTTTGATGCATGCAGAAGTTATGTCAAGACATCATTAGTTTTAGAGATGTGGAATTCATAAATCCAAAAATAATTCTTGCTGTAAAGTATGAACTTCAATTTTTTTTTCTAACAGATTTATTGATTGATTGCCAATCATGTGGAAAAGAAGGGAAGTTTTTTATCTTTAAGGTTTTCGTGATGGCAAGGATGTTGGCATGGAAAAGCTTAATCGAATTGTATTTGTTACTAACCACATGTATTTAGATTCTTGTCTGATGGATGATTGGTAGGGGACCAAGTTTAGCCAATTAATGTGATCATTTTTTTTTAGTTCATAGGGCTAGGAAGAGATGGAGAAAAAAACCAAAAAAAAAAAAAAAGAAAAACTTTGGATGGTTTGGTTCTAGAAGGCATTAAAGCTTAAAAGTGGTCATCAGCTAGTATATTTTTTGGTAGTGTGAAGATAAGAAGATTTAAACAAAAAAAAAATGTGGGGAGGGATAAATGAAGGGAAAAGAAAACAAGTGGGTTACTGGGGACAGATGAGGCAGAACATGCACTGAGAAGAGATGCTGGGTCAAATGTCAATTATCATGGGTTGAAAGGGTCCTAAATCATGTCATATGCTTCCAGTTGCAGCAGGCGCAACAGTTCATATTTTTGCATGGGCTAGAAAGAATTCGGCAAACGCTCCAGCTAGAAGACAGCGAATGTGAAACCATCTATTTTTGCTGTTATTAAACAATGAGTAAAAAAGGCACTCTTCCACTTTAGTAGCAGCAGCTGCAGCACTACTTTATTTAACGTTATATTCAGGGCTCCATGGCCTGCCGATCAGGACCAGCAACCCCAACTCAAAACTTCAAATCTTATGGATTATTTTTTTTTTAAAATTACAATTAATAAGTGCATATAATTTTGGATTTAGGAACGGTGCAGCTCTCCACTTTATGAGCTTCATATCTGTTTTACTATTAAAATAAAAAGACCTTTTCATCCTTGGTTGGTACAAACAGTAGTCTTATACCCCCTTTTTTTTAGAGTTAATTATATTTTTTGTATTTGAGTTTTAGAAAAATATATAAATTAGTATCTATAAAATTAAAATGTATAATTTATACTTTAAAATTTTAAATAATGTATTATTTTAATCCAAAAATTGATATTATTAACTTAACTTATGATATTTGTATAAGAAAATTTTGTTATATGTAAGATATTTATTAAATAAAACTATTAAATTTTTGTAAAAATTTTTATGTGGATGTTACTTGACAAAAAATTATTAATCGATCTTAGCTAGACTATTTTTTACAATTCAGGTAAAAAATTTTTTTTTTTAATTTATATTAAAAAGATGGTAATAATATGTGTGATAAATATATAATTTGATAACATATGTCAAATATTTCATATATAAGCTGATATAGTTAGTATGATACATATTTGAATTAATATGATACATAATTTTAAAATTTATAAAGTAAATTATACATTATTTGAGAATTTAATTTGCAAATTATATATTTTAATTCTCTGTATACCACTTTATGTATTTTCTTGTAATATAACTTCCTATTCTTTCCGTAGTATTTTTTTTTTATTCATTTTTAGATGTCCCCAATCTATGTTTTTTTTAACACAAATTTTATTTTTTATATTTAAAATTTTTATGGTTTTTTATTTAATATTAAATACACTATAACTAAAATTTTTAAAACTCTATGAAAACCAATGGAAAACTTAAATTTTAGGACGGATAGAATGTTTAATAATTAGTGTCACTAAGAAATATTTATAATCTATAACTTCTATAATCATAGATTAAAACTATCTTAAGAGATTGTGTGATGACACGTGAGAAAGCATGTGATAAATCCTTTGCTTGTTGCATATATGTCATCTTTTTTTTTATTTTTTAATTCTTTAAAAATAATTTTAAAAAATCTTTTAAAAGTAAATATGTTGACATGTGGTGAGTTATTTGCTTTTCATGTGGCATTTTTAATTTTTAGAATTAAAAAAAAATGTTTTTTTTTTTGTTTGCTTCATATAATTAAAAAAAAAAAAAAGGAGGTGAGCAGAATGGGAGGCAGTGTTGGCAATTATAAAGCTCATCTCAACCCTTTTTTTTTCAAAAAAAAAAAATCAAACCAAACATCTAGATAATAAAAAAATTTCTAAAATATTCAACTCATCAATGGAAAAATCAAACTCTGAAAGCCTAAAACTAACCAAAATATTAAATCTCAAAAACATATTAAGACATAAAAAATGCAATTAAAACAATAATCAATTGAAAAAACAACCTACAAAAATATCAACTAAAAAACTAAAAAAAAAATCATTAAAAATTATCAAATCTAGAATTTAAATATTTTTTAAAAATAATATCTCCTAAAAGTGACAAAAATAAAGTTAACAAACAAAAAAAAATTAGAATGGAGAGTTTTTGATAAGTTTCAAATGAAAAAAATAATTACAACTAATCAACATAAACAGCCATATAAAAAACCTATAGATATAAGATTTTAATTTTTTTTTTTAAATCTAACAAATTTAAAAACGAAAAATACAACTTTTTAAAAACTATTTTTTCTAAAAATAAAAAAAATCCAGGAAGGGTGATTATAATTTTCTTGGTTTGCCAAATGCCAAACAATGAATCTAATTCTTTTTTTTTTTTTGGAAATTGTTATTGAAAAAAGGGGAGAGATCCATTTACAGTCTTATAATATCGTAGAATTAAAATTTTTTATATTTTTTAAAAATAATTTTAATAAATTTAAAAAATGAGATAAAAATTTTTTTATTTATCTTTATTTATCTTTTAAATTTATTAAAATTAATAACTGATGAACTGATCACTCATCTTAGAAAATGTGCCCTACAACTCTTATGACCGTTAAAAGAATGATATGATATTATGGAGTACCACATGCTCAAGCAGCGGAGCCACTACTTTAGTATCCCACACACCTAACCGTTTCTCGTTGCAGCATTGCTTACCTTTCTGCGCAACTTTTCTCTACCTGCGGAATTAAAGCCAATTATCACTATTATTTTCATTTATTGTGCTCTGATTAGGGTTTGATTGATCAAATAAAAAGATAATTAAGAAATATAAAAAAAAATTTAATTGGGGGAAGGTCAGCTTAACAGAAGTTATAAATAAATGTTTTCATATTCACATGTATCCTCGAATTTTATTAAAAATATAAAATAATTAAACTTTTAATTTTTATTGCATATAAATAAATTATAACTTTTATTTTTTATTATAATCACAAATTCTTTAAAAAAAAGTTCAATTGAAATAAACAAAGATTAGCATTTATAATTTAGCACATGCCTAACAAACAATATAATCAAGCAAGGTTCCTTCCAAGTTCCTAGCCAAATGCAAAAATGAACATAACCAATGAAGAAAATGATGCAATTCAATGGAATGAAAAAGAAAAGAAAAGGCCAAATCTGCTGCCTCTGTTCATTTCTGGGTGATAATTAAACTGAGTCCCAACAATCTCCAGCCGAGGCCACTCTGTACGACTGTACCTAAAATCAAGCACTTGTAAGTTGTTGCCACATGTCACTTAAACTTCCATGGTCAAACCTTTAAGCTGCAACAAAGTTACGGCAAACTATCATAATTTTTACATCAAACGGTTGAGAGCTGAATCATTAATTGTACCTACCATGTAATGATCATGTGAAAAAATCCAAATCAGGAGCTCTGAGACCGTCTGACGAATCTCCAACTGTGAAAACAGTGAGTTCTAAATCAGTGAGTCAGGTAGGCTTTTTTTTTTTTTTTAATTCTTACTTGCCAGGCCTACCCAATAAGATCAAAGTTTTCCCAGCCCATGGGCCATTGCCTTTTCTTGAGAATCGGGAGACAGTCTCACCATTCCAAAGAAAAAACAAAAGAGACATATAGATAAAAACCCCACGCTCTTTAGATGCGTGGATTCACTTCCTTCAGCTGATACTCTGATGCATAAAAGCGACACTTTAGGACACAGTGGAAACAGCCGGGACCAACACCCTTCAATCACCTCAAATATTCACTCTCACATGGAGCAATCCAAAGTAGCAACTATAGTCAAATTTCACAACCCACGCGCTTCCAATCGTGCCTTCATAACAACGAAAGAAAAAAACCTTAGTTAACTTTATTTTATTTTATTTTATTTACTTGAAATAGTAAAGAAGTCCAACACTGACACGCCTATTAACTTATTTTTTTCATTTTTGTACGCTCGTGATACCTCAGAAAACCTCCCGTTGTCTCTCGTTTCTCTTTCTTTTATGGGTTTTCACCGGAAAATGGTTTTTGGTTCATACAGGCCGCCGACAAAAACAACAGCAAAATAGAAAGAAAAAGAACTATTTTTTCCTCATTCTTTGTTGTGTTTCATTTTTCAAGTAAAATCCCAAAATGGTTGTAAATGTTGGCTGTGTTTTTTTAGTTTCAGTCCTGATATTAAGTTTGGGAGTAAACTCAGAACCAGTTCAAGACAAGCAAGCTCTCCTTGCGTTCCTTTCAGAGACCAAACACGAGAACCGGGTTCAATGGAACTCATCAACTTCAGCCTGCGATTGGGTCGGTATCCAATGCGATGCGAACCGCTCTTTTGTCTACACTCTTCGGCTCCCAGGTGTGGGTCTCGTAGGTTCGATTCCACCCAACACAATCGGTCGGTTAAACCAACTCCGAGTCTTAAGTCTCCGAGCAAACCGTTTATCCGGTGAGATCCCTGCCGACTTCTCCAATTTGACTCTCCTCCGTAGCCTTTATTTGCAGGATAACGAGTTCACTGGCCAGTTCCCACCCAGTGTGACTAGTTTAACTCGTTTGACACGGCTCGATCTTTCTTCTAACAATTTCACCGGTCCCATACCTTTCAGCGTCAATAATTTGACTCATTTGACCCGACTTTTCTTGCAAAACAACAAATTTTCCGGTTCTCTCCCGAACATCAACCCCGAACGATTAGTTGATTTCAACGTTTCTAATAACAACCTTAACGGTTCAATTCCCGACACGTTATCTAATTTCCCTGAATCTTCATTTGCCGGAAATATTGGGCTTTGTGGAGGCCCACTTCAGCCATGTAATCCATTTTTCCCGTCTGAAGCCCCATCTCCTTCGGAGCCCATTCCACCTACAACTTCCGGTGAAAAGTCCAGAAAGCTTTCCACCGGCGCCATTATTGCTATTTCCGTGGGTTCCGCAATCATCGCGTTGTTGTTATTATTATTCCTCGTTCTTTGCGTCCGTAAGCGTCAACGGAGGCCACCGAAGCAGCAGAAACCGGTTACGGCGGCGACACGGGCGATTCCGCCGGCTGAGGCGGGAACTTCCTCGTCGAAAGATGATATAACTGGAGGATCAACGGAAGGGGAAAAGAATAAGCTTGTGTTTTTTGAAGGTGGAGTTTATAGTTTCGATTTAGAGGATTTATTGAGGGCTTCGGCGGAAGTGTTGGGAAAAGGCACTGTCGGAACATCGTACAAAGCTGTGTTAGAAGAAGGGACAACAGTGGTAGTTAAACGGTTAAAAGACGTGGCGGTTAGTAAAAGAGAGTTCGAAATGCAGATGGAAATGTTGGGTAAAATTAAACATGCAAATGTGGTTCCTCTGAGAGCGTTTTATTACTCCAAAGATGAGAAATTGCTCGTTTACGATTTCATGCGTGATGGTAGCTTGTCTGCCCTGCTACACGGTAAGTTTCTCTGTTTCGTTTCATTTCATTTTTTTTTTTGACGAACTCTGTTTCATTTCATTATTTCTTTATTTGACTTCTCTGGGTTTTTAGGACCTAATAATTCTTGCAAATTTTTTGGCTTAAAAAATCAAAGATATTTTTTTTTGCTTTGAAGATGACCTGACAAATCAATTTGACTTTAATGGAGCTCCAGCTGTTGCATTTATGTTCTTTTCCCTCCTTTTTTTAGCGTTGTGATAATATAATTTTTGGGGATGCTGTGGAATGTTGTTGGAGATGATAATATTATGTTAATTTGATTAGGTTATAGTGGGGAATTAATAATGAAAGAATCCTTAATCATTTAAGAAATTTCAAAAGTTTTCCAATTTAATAACCGGCGCAAGGGCCGGGGGATGGATTCCTCTGTGTGATTCCTCCACTTTCTGAGCAAACATTCTTTCAAGTGTATGAGTTACGCTTACAAACTAGTGGTGTTTTTTATCTTTATTGACATTTCTGCCAGCATTCATTTTCATAAGTCGTCTATGGATCCACCGACATTGATTCATTGCCCCATTTCTTTTTTTCACCAAATTTGCCTCATTTAATCTTGTTTCCTGAGGTTCCAAATGAGTGAATTTGAGTGTCGCATGCCCGTTGATGAAATGAGTATTTTTTTTGCAGTGTTACCAAAACTCTCTTGTGGGTTGTTATGAGGACTTCTTTGAGTAGTTTACTTTCCTTTCAATTCAAGTAACCTCGGATGGGAAGGATTAGAGTTAGGGTTTTTAAATTCGCTTTTAACGTCAGTATGTTAGAGTATTGAAAGTCAAATTAGTATCATATAAAGTATAAATCATGAAAATTACAGCCCCATCGAGTGGGCAAATTACTCTCTTTTTGGTAATGAATTAAACCGTGTATTGTGATAAATGTTGCAGGAAGCAGGGGCTCAGGCCGTACTCCACTAGACTGGGACAACCGGATGAGAATAGCATTAAGCGCGGCTAGGGGCCTAGCACACCTTCACGTTTCGGGAAAGGTGGTCCACGGCAACATCAAGTCCTCCAACATCCTTCTCCGACCAGACCACGAAGCCTGCATCTCCGACTTTGGTCTCAACCCGCTCTTTGGCAACACCACGCCGCCTAGCCGCATTGCAGGCTACCGAGCACCTGAAGTGGTTGAAACCCGCAAAGTTACGCTCAAGTCTGATGTGTATAGCTTCGGAGTGTTATTGCTAGAGTTATTAACTGGCAAAGCACCTAATCAGGCATCGTTAGGGGAGGAGGGGATTGATCTTCCTCGTTGGGTCCAATCCGTGGTTCGCGAGGAATGGACGGCTGAGGTTTTCGACGTGGAGTTAATGAGGTACCACAGCATTGAGGAGGAAATGGTGCAGCTGTTACAAATTGCAATGACTTGCGTATCGACCGTACCTGATCAAAGACCCGCCATGCAGGAAGTGGTACGTATGATTGAAGATATGAATATGAGTAGAGGGGAAACCGATGACGGATTACGGCAGTCGTCTGATGATCCTTCAAAAGGATCAGAAGGTCAAACTCCTCCCACCGATTCAAGGACTCCACCTAGATCCGCCACACCTTAAAGTATAATTGTGATTTGTGAACAAAGAAAGGAAAAGAAAAGGAAAATTGAAAAGCAAAAAGACAATGTGGGGGTGGGGTTCTCCTTAAATTGTGCACAAAGCGTAAGTAAAAGAGTGATAAAAAGTGCGCAGTTGATTGGGGGGATAATAACTAAGGTTTGCCCCCAAATTTGTGTTTTTTCGTTCTTATTTTTTTATTTTTTTATTTCGTTTCCTGGGTTTTATTTTTTTTTCCTTCTTAATTTTACTTTGCAATTATAGGTGGATTTGTTCGGGGGGGGGGGAATTTGAATTGTTTACGAAGGAGCCGGTGGTAATGGGGAGTTCCATGAACTGATTGGAATTTGACCATTTGATGGATTTACTTGGTTTTGTTTTTCTTTCTTTTTTATTTTAATTAATTCTTTCCTTTGTAATCTGTAACTCACAAACAAAACAATCCACTCGTGTCCTGTCCTATTAAACACATGTCTTCGTTGCTTGTCCTTTTAAATTGTCTATTTGTATAAGCTTTTTTAATCCTTTTTATTGCAATGGCCAAGTGAAGCCAACTAGGGAGTTAGAAATTTTCATTTAAAAATTCCAACCACTTGTTTCGTTCAGCTAATGTACAAAGCCGAAACCAAACATGCATTGGTTACTAACCATGTACCCCACTTGGGAACTAACCTAGTTTAATGGTCATAAGCTCATAATTATTCCACCTAATTGATTAGAAGCATATTCAAGAATGGAATGAATGCCGCTCGAGACGAAATCAGAGGCCTAGAGGCGCCACACGTGGCGGACCAGTCGCACATGATGCTGATTAGGGGGCAGATTGGAGATTTAATGTTTCACCGGGTAAAATTTTTGTCTGTTTATAGTAGCCAGAGAAAGGGTGACAGACAGGCTGGCCGGCATTCTTCACCCTTTCCTTTTTCTAGAGAAAAGCAAAAAAAAATGTGGAATTTTCTTCTGACAATCATTGGTCATTGTCTTCGACGTGGCTGGGCTGATAACCGCTTAATTTATTGAACCTAGATTCAACTGACTCAGTATTCCTTACCCGCATGCAATTTCGTCCTTGTATTGTATTATATTTCACTCAAACCGTGAAAGTTATAGCTGCGGACTTGGGAGTTATTTTTTATTTTTTATTTTTCACAAGGAAAACAAGTAGTAAGCAGTGATGCTCCAGCAGGCAAATGGTCAAAATAGTTAGGGGAGTTGTGCTGTTTTGGGTTTGAAAACGCATCGAAATCTGCTTTTCAATAAGGTTTTGGTCGTATGCAAGTATGTGTCCGTCACGTTTTAAAGGCTCCCATGGTGTCATGCATGTAATTACTAGTTCTTTTTGTTGTCCTGCGAATAATGGTGCCAACCCAGACCCATTGGAACAGTAGAACACCAAAGACCTTGGCTGGCAGTGCCTAGTGGAAATAATCCCCTCTTGCAAGATACTATCTGATCCAAAGGCGCAGGTAACGCGCCACCTCTTGCGGTTACCTTATAGCCATCCCTAATGTGTGGAATACACAAAATAAATATCATCTTCATAAGATATCTACTAAGATTATAAATTGAAATGTGTATAAATATTCCGTGAAGCTTGTAATATTAGTATTTTTTAAGAATTTTGTAATTAGTATTATATTTTATATTAATAAATTTGATTAACATATTAAAATTTATTGACATACTAACAATTCATTAAAAATTCAATTAAAAAATTTTTACCACATAAAAAAATATATTTTATAATTAAATCTCTTCAATCAAACTGTCAAATGAGACCTATATAATTGTACTATATACGATACCTAAATTAAGAGGAGATAAGAGAGACACCTAAACTAAGAGATGATTAAGAGAGAGGCGCGTGCCACGTTGGCGAAAGCAAGTTTTCGGGGTTTGTTGCACCGAAAGTGCGCGCTAGCTAGGCTAGCAGCACTTTTGGTCGGCTTCAAAATTGACTCTTTACTCTTTTGTACGTTAAATAACTATATGCTGGTAATCTCAAAATATCAAGAAATAGTTATATGGCTTTGCCCCATTGCCTGGTCTTTTAGCATTGGCAACAAAAAAACCCCTAACATATTGTTTGATTTTAAGGTTTGACCTCATCTTTGATTAGTCTTAACCCTGAATGAGGCTGTCTTTTTCATTTCATTTCAAGCCAAACTCGAAATTTCTCCACATAAGATAGTATTGAGATTAATCAAGAATATATGATAACACTCTTTCATGTGGGTCATGTGAGTTTTTAAGTCTAGCTTCTTCTTAGAAAACCCTATCACATTTTCTTCACTTATCAATTTATTTTTAAGATCGATTAAGAGTTTTGAGTGCTTTAGAATATTAGGTTTTGAGATAACTATAAAAATTGTAGTAGTTGACAATCCTTGGACATCATCAATTATAAAAATCAAGAATGATTTTGGCGACAAATCATTTACAAAAGATGCAAGGCTACATGACTACACGTATCAAATTTGAGGTCCCAATTTTTTTTTTTTTTTTGCAATATCTCTTTTGCTGAGAATAAAAGAAAAGGCCCACTTATAATCAACAAAAACTCTCTCACATCAACTCTTTAGATGGAAATGAACAGAATCATGGAAAATAACATGATTACCATCAGGAAGTAGTGGTGACATTTTAGAGAAAGAGGGTTTTGGAAATTATTAGTAACACTGAGAGAAAGCCAAGGGATGGTACACCATTTGGAAGAAAGGAAAAGCACCTTTAGCCCTATTGGCCATTGGCAGCTTATATCAATTATGTTGTGGTCCCTGCATTGAATTATGAAGATACCTGGAACTAATCTCAAAATTAAACCTATAAACCAAAGTCGTCTCACTTCTGGAGTTTATCTTATAGTAAAAAGTTTACCTAAAACAAAATGGGAATACAAATATGTTTTGAGTTTTAATAAGGGATTAATTTTTCATAAGAAAGAAAAAAAAAAAACACTTCAGAGAAATAGGCAAATAGCCCTTTTTTGTGCATTGCATTCTTCATTCTTCAATGCAGATTTAAAACAACAGGGTAATTTATTCCACCATAGCTCACGTAATTTTACAGGCCATGGCTGGCTTTATTTTACCATGATGAGTATCCAGTTGACCCAATCTTTTTTTTCCCCCTCAAATACAGTTCACCTAAACTTTACCCTATTTAATACTCATGATGTCTCTTTATGGTCTTTTAAGGTTGTCTTTAACTTGGTTAAGCGGACAGGTCTTGGTCTTAATTTAACAAAGTACAATAACATTCATGTTTTCTTGCATATATCTCTGTCTTCACTCCTATGATAACCAATTCAATATGAGTGTTTTTGGTGACTAATTGTTTAGTGTTGATTAAGCTGGTCTTTGCTGCTCATCAACCAAAAAGGGAAAAATATATAGCTAACAGACAGGTTTTTGGAGTTTGGCTGATAGAAACATACTTGTTGATTATCTTAAAGACCAAGCCAAGCAGTTTCTTGCCTTTTAAGCTCATCTTTGAATCCATATCACTTGGCTATTATAAACTTACCTCAGTTGCTGTTGGCAGTAGTCCTCAAACAAAAAATGCAAGTCACAAGGGAAAAAAGCTAGCCATTTAACTTGTATGGCATTCCAACCATAATCATATTTAACATGGAATTTAAATCACAAAACTCCATTTTTCTGTTAGTTGGATCTGCCAAGATAACTTCAGCTCTCAAGGTTCCTTTCCTTAGCCCTCAAATATTCTCACAAATCACATTCATTAGACAAACCATCACCCATAGAAATCTCACCAACCTTAGCGGCCTCATATATTGGATATAATTCATGCCAATTCATCAAATGAAATGTAATGGATTGATTGAACAATAATAAGGTGAAGTACTCAATTAAGGAAGGTAGTTGAAGAACAATCTTCTTCCTTATAAGAACAAGTTAATTAATATATGTATAATCTCATCATACATCTTAAGTCCAAAATTTTAATGATTGTTAATATCTTTATGTAACATAATAAGCTTTACTTTGATGTGATGTCATTTGAAAACAACTTCTCTTTATGGACTTCGCTTGCCCATGAAACAAGGTGCAGTACAGTTTGGTGGCGGTGGTTGCAGAAGCAAAAGCCTTTTTTCTTGCACATGCTATCTCATCTTCATAGGAGACTGCAAGAATGGAAAGATAAGTTAAAACTTGGGTGCTAGGAGCTTAGGATTCTTGCCTGCTAAAAAAATAAATTTGTATAAAGAAGTTAGTGTCAGTAATTTTAATTACAGCCTAAACCATGGAATGTATTCGTCTTCATCCTTTTTATTGAATTTGGATCTTTTTGATTGAGTTGTTTGAAGCTGAAGATGATCTTCTTCATGAAGAACGATCATAACCACAGGAAGATTGGTCCCCCAACAATTGTGTTGCATTGCATAGGATATTATACTCCTGCACATGTGATGTGATCTGTAGAAAAGTAAAACCAAACGAAGCTGGTGCTGGAAAGAAAAAGGAGAAAATACCCTTCTTTGGATACCAGGAAAAGGCATAAAAAGATTTTTTAACCTTTTTCGCTTTGATAAAGATGTTACTGGATACCTTCCATGTAGCCATCTAGTTTAGCCGCCTGAGAACCTCAAGCGGTGAGAGTGCCACCGACAAGCCCAAATAATTAACTGGACGATCACCTAGGACTTTTAAGTGGTTAAAACACTCCACTTTTTCTGAAAACAAGAAGATATATTGATAGATTGTATTTCCTTAGTACATGAAAATAAAGGTTCATTATGAACCAAATTACCGAATATTATAAATTCGAATTGGTTTTCGATTTTTTTATTTTTATTTTTGCTTTTCACCTTCTTCAGCTTTGTTGATTTGTCCAATTTTTTTAGTCTTAATAAAGGATGAACTTTTAGATTTGAGAAGATCTTAGTTAGATTACAGCATTTATTACAAGCTTCCAAAACTTTCATCTGAGATTGTTTTAAGCAAAGCACATAAAGAAATATGTGCTAGACAGGTTCAGGTAATGTCTCAACTTTCAAGATTTGCCGAGGTAGTATTTAGTGGTATTGATTTATGAAAAAACCAACCAATTAGTTATAAGTGAAAATAAAATTCACTAGCGTTTGTAGTCCAACGGTTAGGATAATTGCCTTCCAAGCAATAGACCCGGGTTCGACTCCCGGCAAACGCACGTTAATGAATTTTTTAACCTCAAAATTTTCAACATAGATTTGTGATCCATAACAGAGTTTTCTTCCCCAACATTTTCAACATAGATATTTTGGACTTTGTTAGTTGTCATGGTATTGAGCAATGGAATTTGGTTGAAAATGATTACTCTGGAACAATATAGGTAGAGAGTGTTGAAACTCATAGCATAATACTAAAGTAAGCAAAATACGAGCTTAGAATGATCCCCAGCAGTTATAAAAAATAGAACAAAAATCTAAAACAGAATGAACCAAAGTAAAAGCTAAGACACTAGCTGGCAGATTCTAAGGTACATTCAGATCAAAGATTGACTCCTATTTCTCCTTTGGCTTCACTCTCTGACTATGTATTCCGGGAGTCATATTGATTCTGGTTCTGGATGTGTAGTATTATTGCAAGGACAATTACAATGATTGCAGTAGTAATATTTCTGACCTCAGAATATAAACCTGAACTTGTGCTAAGATTATGATGTTCACTGTAGCTATAGCCTTTATCAGGAAGAGGATCTCTTACATAGCCATAAGCATGCAACACTACTCTCAATGTTGTGAAGCACACCTAATAAAATTTCCTTTACCTTCAACTCGCCGCAAAGTGTTATTGATAATCTGAGGAAGCAACAAAAAATCTTGAACGAGACCAGCATAATCATCCATCTCTACGAGCCATTCAAGCAGCCTTTCGGTGTTGCCTTTCATATAAGAATATTTTTTAGCAATGGGCAGTGTTTCACTGGCACTTGTCATAGAAATTTGTGTGAGAAGAAAACCCATCAAATGAACAATTACAGTAATCAGAAAAACTTTCTTCTCTCTACGGATTCGAACTTTCTGTTTGATGCAAGATTCCAATACTACCTGAGAGTCTTAGGTAAGAAACAGTGCAACTAGTAAAAGTATCTTGGTCATGCTGTCAAGTACATCAAACCGTTCAAACTTGTTGAAATTTATGATCCAGAGCTGTTAGATTGCAGAACCTTCCATCTGAAAAGAATTTCATTTCCAGTGATTAGAGGAATACAGTAGCCAAGAGCCTGGATAGCAAGCATGACAAGAAATACTTCACTGCATGAAACAGTGTTCTTGGAGTAAGGCAGCTGGCTGTGTGTGAAAAGTATGGACAGAGTGAGCACCAGAAGTCGAAGTATGCCCCCAAAAGTTTTTTGGAAACTATGTCCTTTTATTTTTTATTACAAGAAATTGGATTAGTTTTCAGGTTGAGTTGACTGACATGAAGGGGGTCTTCCTCACTTCTTTTGCTGCTAAAGGAGATTTTTACCCTTGGATTTATTAGCCACCGTGCATTTTCAGGAGGATACTCTACACTCACTTCAAAGTTCAAACTGACAATCCATTCCTCCTTCAAGGTTCGTTCCCATTTTTGAGATCTTTGGAAGATAATCCCTGCAACCAACTAGGTGCATCTTTCCTAAAATCTGGTTATATAAACCTTCAAAGACAAGTGAAATATTGCTGTATTGTTGACTAGTAATGGTGAGTTGCCCTGAAATTTCAATTATGTCAGAATCAGAAGCAGACAACTGATCCTCAACCCGTTGCTCAATGTTCGTTCTGTGTTGATACCAGTATTCTCCAAAAAGTGAACCTATGGACAGTACTTGAATTTCAACCTTTGTCTTATGCGCTTGGTCACTGGAAATGAGATTAAGGGTAGAATGCATTTGAAAAGAGAGCTCATCAGCTAGATGAGAGAGGTTGGCAAGGTCACTACGACTGAATGATGGATGCTGGAGTTGTAACTTTCTCCAAATTGCTCGTAGTAATGAGAATTTTTTTGACCAGGAAAGTGACTTTGCTAGACTTTGAACACTTGTATGACCATTTGAGATTCTGACGAATTGGTGTATACGTATGATATCTTTAGGACACCTACCTTTTCAAACAATAATGAAATATGTGAGCCATTGGTGCTGGAAATAGTCCCAAACATGATACTTTGCTGCTTAAAGGAGATAGTGCAAGGAAAGTACAAGCAAATTCGTGTGTTGCATTCAACTGCGCTTGCACTTTCAAATCCAAGACAGCCAATCATGCAGAGTTGCCCTTCTGAAGATCTCCATATTCCCTCGGCAGAAATGGTTGTGCCAGAAAGACCTGTTCTCTCTTCTGGTAAATGTCTGTCTTTCCATGAATAGTAATGAAATAATCTGAAGACAGCAAATACCTTGCTATTTCTGACATTATTTCGGTGTATTCCAGGTTCACACCTCATTTGCTGAATGACCAGCTTGAAGTTGTCAAAACATCCAATAGTGGACTTGATCTCTTTTCCAAGAAGAAGAGGGCCCAAGTGACTGCCATTATTATCTGCATTAAAAGATTCCGAATTTGGCACAAAATCAAAAATATGATTGATCACAAAATTCTGAAGCATGTCGCAAAAGTCATTTCCTGCAAACATTTGGATATCTTTATCTACCATATTGCCTTGGTATGGATATGGGCTGCATGCCTTCAAGAGTTCTTCAGCACCAAACTGGTATTTAGAATGTTCGCCTAACTGAACTCATTCGGACTTCATCAAAGTATTTCAAATTTGATTTTTCATGTAAACTTACCATTTCTCCACAGATACCTCTAGTAGTCAAACTGAAGGCTATAGCGTAACGAAGAACCAGCATTATTCTATCATTATTAGCTAGAGGAAGCTGATATTTATATTAATTACCATATTCATCCATAAGTTCCAATGAGTCAATTTGATTTCTTGTAGGCTTTGTTGCATTGCCTATCAGACACATCAACCTCTCTCCTCTATTCTCCGTAGAATATTCAATATAAACCCCTTCAAAGAGAATGGTGATTGTGGAGCTTCCAGGTACCGTCTTAAATTTTGGAGACCATTCATAAGGCTTGTATGTAAAGGAATTATCTCGAGTTATGCTTATGTTCATAATCCCACTGACACTAATTGCATTTTTTGATTGATGAACTGGATCAACGTCCATCACCCAAAAAGAAACTAACTTTACAAAAGAGTGGCCACCTTGATCATTCCTTTGCAAATCACTGTCATCGAATGGCATCAATGGAGCTCCAACAGACTGCTGATCCCAATCTCCATTTAGAAAAGAAAGCTCATTTTTTATTCTGTTGCCTCTGTCATCATGAGGTCTTAACTCAGATGCCAGTGATAGGATAGATTCACGGTTTTCTTCAATCTCAGAAAAACGATTGTAACCGTATATGATGGAAGGATCATCCAGGGTCTCTAAATCCCACAACAGAGCGGAGAAGCTGATCATAACCAGAGATAATAGTGTCCATAGCTGAAGCAAAAGAGGCAGAATTTCACTACTGGACAGAAATGAAGCCAATTTTCAACTTCCAAGTACCTATCTTCTACAAAAGGTGTTATAATCAATACAAGATAAAGCAAAAGAAGGATATAAATGTTTCGGTAAATCAGGAAAAAAAAAATTCATGTACTTGTCTTCCCTGGGGTCCTTCAAATGACTAAAAGAAGAAATAGGAAGAGAAAGTAACAACGCTAAAACTCATGATAAACTAACCTAAGCCTGCTTTCCGATGATGTTTTCTACTTATGTGCTTCTTGAGAAAGAAAGCTTGGATCAATATCAACTATCATCGGACAATTTAGCATGCTTCCTGCTAGTGTACTGCTCTTGATCTCATTATCATAACACTAATAACCCTGTGATAATAAAATAGTGGGGGAAACGACCACTGAATCACCATAACCTGCGCAGTAAACAAAGCCGAATGTGTATGATAGTGCAAGACATTGGATGAGAATTAAGAATATTATATATGAAAAGAACAACTCTGCATCACATGGTTGACAAGTCTAGGTCAATGCTAATGTTAAGAAACAAATCTCAGACTGATTCTAAGTAAACTTTATTTTCCTTATTTTTTTGTTACTTACTCCCGGCAATCATCTGCAGTTCTGCACCTATTTGTGAATGAATTGATGCTGTCAACCAGGTAACTTACACAAACTAGGTAAGACCTGTATTGAAGAATTTTAATCAACTACTTCCATTGAGACACTAGCTTGGCATAGGAAAGAGAATTTGACACTTAAAGAAATTGGATGCTCCAAATAGAATAGTTAAATCCTATATGCTCAAGGTTTCCCGGCTAGCATATTTGATTGAGATAAACCATTGGTTTTAAACTTTTCCTTTTTTGTAAGATCAGGCCACGGTTGGCTATATCCTTCTCTGGAGTATAGCACAGTATGTATGACTCAATCGAGGCTCCTGATTTCTGTTCTTTGAATATTACTACTTAATTTCTTGCGAAATACATGTCAAATTGCAATTGGTAACTCTCAAGACGATATTTGATGTTATCATCGAATTTTAATTCCTTTACTTGAAGAGAATCCCAGCATTAGAGTTGGCTCCACGCAATACCAATCATCATTGTGAGCGTTAAGATGAGTAGAATCCTTTAAAAAAATCTTCGAAAAGCAATATCTTCTAAGATGTCTCGACGTTGAACTATAAGAGCCTGAAGGCTAATTGGGTTAAAATGGAGAGGATCGCCTTCATTTCTAAGGCTAGTGATTTTCATCTTCACCATGGAAATTTTCAACCATTGTGTGTTTTCAGGATAGGGTCCAATTTGCTGTGGTCCGTATATCTAGCCTTGAAATTAAAATTCGGCATAACATTGAATTTTAGTCCGGAAACAGTGTAAGAATCGACAGAAGCCAGAGCCATTAAATACCTTGTCACCATCTTCAATCATTGCATGTTGGTCAACTAGTGGACCACAAGTTTCTTACCTAAGCAAATGTGGACGAAAAGTCCATACTGGAAAGTAGATATAGAAACATTACCGAAGTGTGTAAAGCTTTATCTGCCATTTAAACTTATTATTTCTCCCCTAATTGCTCTTTCAGTCAAATATTTTGGAATAGAGAAGAACAAGTAACATTTGTCCACCTTGCATAACATGGGACAGATCATTATCAATAAGACCATATTTGTTGGCTAGATTCAAGCCTGTTAGAGGAAGGAAGAGTTGAGTTTCCTATATAAACCCCTTCAAAGACAATTGACAAAGCAGATAAACCAGGGATCATAAAGAACTCAACGTACCATCCAGGATGAATTGAACCATTCCTAGATATAAGTATAGTAGTCATAATTCCACCAAGACTGACTGAATTTTCAGACTGATGCAAGGGAGGATGCAAATGATATAATAGAGTGTTCATCGACATTCCTAAAGATTGGAAAATAAAAAAATTTTTAAAAAAATTTCTCCTAGACACCCTCAGTATTTTATCCTGGACATCCCGGAATTTTCCCTGGAACTATCTTCCTTAATTCTTTAATACTCCACTCACTGTCACTATTTAATACCCAATCACAGCTCACAGTCAGTCAACATCCAACATCTAGCAGACACCCACTGCAATAAGTGGACACCCAAAAAAAATCCAAGATGAGCCGCTGGACTGATGAACGGGATTGACATTCTTCACGTTAAAAGAGACCAATTTTGATGGAGAGGCAGAGGAATTGTTCTTTGGAATGTCACTGTCATCAAATGGCATCAAGTGTGCTCCACCATTAACCAGTTACCAATCCCCATTATAGAAAGACAATTCATCGTTGGGCCTATAGCTTCCACTATGATCAGGTTTCAGCTCAGCGACTGAGGTTAAATAAGGACTGCAAAGCTTTTCAATATCAGGAAACCAAATTATTTTCGTAGACTACTGAAGGGTCATCCAAGATGTCTTCATAACAAGTTGTGGAGCCAATTAACATGAAAATGTAAGGCATGGTTCTAAGCCCAAGAACCAAATTCTGCATCTTCATGACAAGGAAATCTACTATTTCAATTCTCTATCCTAAATAAAGCACTAACATGATTTGTGTATGGGAAGTTTGCAAGCGTTCATGCAAGAAAACAGTGACAAAAACACAGCGAAAGTGATAGGTGGCAGGTCCCCAAAAATGAATCCTAAAAGTTTATTCATAACCTTGCAAGTCCAGCACAATTGAAAGCGAGAAAGACAATTAATAAAAATGTATATTTAATGAAGTTGCCAGAAGAAGTTGGCAAATAATAATGTATATTTAATGTTTAATCCATTTCAAACAAAAAGAAAGTAGAAGACGGATGGGTCAACTCCAGAAAACAAAACCCAAAAAAAAAACAAAGAAATCGTTTAAGCTGGATAGACAACGCAAAATATGCACATCCCGATATATTGAGCACAATGGGGCCTTCCCTAAAATGTTTAAGCTTTTATGGCATATAGTCTACTCTTTGATATGGGCCTTTGACTGAATCCCTTGACCACCACACAGGGCCAAGAGTCTATCGCCAATGCCCTCCCTTTTTTTTCTTTGTCATTTACTCTTTTGTTTTATGTAGCATGGATATATTGGAATAAGGGCTATGGGCTCAAGGTGGCCTACTAGAATCCACGTAGTGGACTATCGAATATTAGTAGTCGAACAAGGACACTTTATTCTAATTTTAATTTTCAGAACATTTAAATTCTGAAAATTATAATTATTATTCATTATAAGTTGTATTGTAATATTTCTTTTGCAAAAATACAATTCTTTCGAAAGGTATCTTATTAACAGATACGTTTACGTAGTTTATAAAAGGATTTTTCTACTTGAAGTGTTTAAGACTTTATTGCATTCTCCAAGCATTATAAAGTCTTAAAAAAATATTTTTTATTTTATGTACTGTCCGTTTTACAGATATTATATACTGTCCTTTTTTTTTAGAAAATATATTATACAAATTCAGTTAATCTCACAATGATATTTTATAAAAAAATTTAATTTTAAATATACTTTTAGGATTAAATATATTTATTTTTTAATGTATTTTAAGATTTTAAAATTAAGTTCTTATGAGGTGATTCAGTGTATCAAATAGAAACTTTAAAAAAAATTTGTAATGCCTCAAAGTGAATATTTTAATCACTTGTTCTCCATTATTTTTCTAACAGTTCCTCCATCATTAGTTGTTTCTCAATTTGAGTAGGTCCATTCCATTGGCTTTCTTGACACTTAGTAGTAAAACTTATCTGAACTTAGGTTGGTACAAAGAAGAAATAAGGTACTCTAGCCTATAGGAGAGCTTAAAAATTCTATTGGATCAGATAAGGATATTGCATAGATATGTATATTATATATGATGAGATAATTTGGGTATTAATTAATAATACAGCACATTCAACAACGTTAGGAGGTGACACATTTAGGTATGGAATTTTGTTTTCATAGTGTAATTCAAAGTGTACTTTGTGTTGACACTTATGACAACAACAGGTCAAAAAATATTTATTAATTACATAAAAAAATTCCAAAATTCCTGTCTTCAACCACACTCTAATTCCTCCCCCTTTTTCCAACTCATCTTTTAGTAAGAGGCCGACCAAAGATATTCTAATTCCATCCTCCACTCTCCTCCTTCATATGCTTTTGTATATGTATTTGCATTCTCTATTATTATCTATGGTCAAACTATACTCTTTAATAGTTTTTGAAAAGGAGTGATGATTGTGTGGCCAAAAAAAAAAGGGAAAATTAAACCTTAATTAATTAACTCAACATATATGAATTAATAAAGCTTCTACCTTATGTATGTCATTAATATGCAATCCATTATACAGAAGAAGATATGCATTATCGTAAATTCCATAAACTGTATTTCCATGTGCATTTTATAGAAATAATAATTTATAAAAGGTTAATTTTAAAAGTTTTGTCATTTTTATGAAAAAAATAGTAATCTGAAATAAAAGAAAATAATTATATACATATCATATATATATTTTTAGTAAGAAAAAATTCAAAGATAAATAGGTTGCTCAGTCTTTCAAGTCAGGGTAAGATGTACCTGACAACCTAAAACAGGTGATTGCAGGTCGTGCATTCGAGATGATCCTAATAAATGATCACCAACAGGACTCGAACCTAAGACTTCTTCGTCGTGGGCTACAATTTAACCATTAATTTCTTGTGCTTGATTTTTTTTCATCTATAATATAAAAAATAAAGGATAAAAATAAAATAACAAGTCTACTTCAAATTAAATGTTATCCAAAAATTAAGGAAGGAATTTCAAAGGATGCTAAAAAAAAAAATCATTCAAGTTCATGCATGAATATATTATGTATAATATTACAATTATGAATTATGAAAAAGACTGTTTTTTCCTTCCCTTTTCTTCGCTTTTTTTCCTCAAGTACTTACACCTCTCATCATCATCAACTATTATTCAATCCAACAAAACTAAGAAAAGCACAAACTTTTTTACATTAAGATAAGATAAGCATGAAGCATCTAAATAATGCAATTCCCTAAAGCTATGCAATTATATATCAATCAATTCTGATGCTAAAGCAAACGACGACGAATCTATCATAAATGAATTAGGGAATTTAGTAGAACAATCAATTTCTCATCAACGATCACAATTTTAATGATTCTCTCTATCTCTCTCAAACAGAAATGAAAACCTTACAACCCGTAAATGTAAACCTCATTGGCTTTCCGCAAAGCTTAATTAAAGAATATTTCATTTCATGCAAACGTATAAATGGTCGTCGTTGTTCCATTTTCGTTCTTTAATTATGTCTTCCTTCTTCTTGAGCCAACTTGAATGGAACTTTGAAATTCTTATGATTTTTATTGATAACGAATTGAAGTTTTTGGCTTGGCATATATGTACATATAATTGGATTCACAAGAACAGAATCTTACATTTTTTATCTTCCTTTGAAAAACTTTCTTCATATTATTCTAAGTATCTAAACCCCTTTCAAAGCATCACTATATATATAGTTGCATTTATTTGGACGTCATTTAATTTTCTCATTTTTAATTTATTTTGTTCAATGATCATATGAATTTCTTAAATTATTTATTTATGTTAATTAGGTTAATTGTACTTAAATACCTGATGAGCTCATCTCCAGTACTATCTAAGCGGAGTGTTCATTAGCAAAATCCTTTCGTTATATTTATAAATGCATTTTTTGCCAATTTACAACAAAACCAAGACCAATTAGCTAGGCAAGAAATTAATAAAGAGAAATCAACAGAATTATATATATATATATATATAATTAAGACCTAAATCTTTTCTTTGTTCATATAATTATAATCATATATAAACTTTGGATCCTTCTTTTTCCAAATATTCAATTGGCATAACATAGGAAACTTTGCCTTTGAATGAAATAGTGAATACCCCCCTTCCTTTCCCAAAAAAAAAAAAAAAAACCCAGTGTTCCCAATTACTCCTTATGGAAGCTTTTTGTATGGTAAAAGAGGGGGGGGGGGGGGGAGTGTTATGGTAGGCTACTAATTAAAAAGTAGCGGATAGACTGTTTACAGATACGCTTTTTCCCCATTAATTAATCCAGCAAAGTAATGTACAAACCCAGGCCATGTGAATCTCCAAACCTTCATCAATCACCTAATCAAATTAAAAACCATAGGTTTAGCTGTTTGTACTACTTTTATATAAATAAAATAACATGCCAAAAGAGGGAAACTAACACCTTCATAATTTATAAGTCTTTTCTTGGTAGTTGCACCAAGTTACTTAGTTAATCAAAAAATTAATATTTATATACAATCGATTTATCTTATTAAAACAAGTATTTTAATTTTTTGAGTCGATAAACTCAAAAATAAAATAACGTTAATGATTAAATCGGAAAACGAATATGAAGGAAGGTGGCATACAGGTTGATGATTGAGGACGCAAAGACGCTGCCAAGGACTAGCCGCAAAGGCAAATCAATTTTTTTCTACATGTGCTAAATTAGATTGGAAAATTCACCAATCAATAAATGACACATAATCCAAATCCAAATGCCTCCTTCCTCAGAAGAATTTAGCTTTGTATTTGTGCTAGGCGAATTTCTCTTTTGATTCCCAAAAGGAAAATTATGTACTACACCAATGTTAACACAACGAAGAACATCGTGCTTCACGTTAACCCCCACACCTTTCCCTTTTTTTTTTTTTGTGAATGTTATTATTAATTAAAATTTTATATGTTTTAGTTGAAAAATATACATGTACTATTATCAATTATTAATATTCAATGTTTTTTTCTAATTTATACAGCGTTACAAAAAAGAAGACCCCATTGTGGATTGTTGAGTATTTTTAGAATGGAATTTAAAAGAAAAAGAGTGGGAGGAATATTCGGGGCTCCATGTTTACACCAGACAAAAAGGATATTCATAAGGACGATATGGGGGAATATCAGTGACACGTGTCACGAGGAGAATCTCTTTTGTTTTCTTTTTCTTTCCTTTGCTTTCAGCTCCTTTCCTTTCTTTTCTGTCTTAATAAAAGATGGAGAGATGAGAGAATCTGGAGAGAAAGGGCATGGGTTAGAGTCTTGTACCAGAAGAGAGTGGTTTTGGATTTTAGAAAGAGACCCACACCAAAACCATCATTGTTATGGCCACTGCTTTCTTTCTCTTATGCTGCTAAGCAGATAAGAGAGATTAGGGGAAAGGGAATTCGATTCAGTCTCTATTACAGAAACAACTTTGCCTTTAATTTACTTTGGTAGAAAAGGCATTTCTTACAGTTTTCTCATCATCCTGTATATCTTTCCTTTTGGCTACTTCCCCATTTATTCCATGCACGCAGGACAGGCCCATCCGTATCTTTTTCCCCTCCCCCTGCATGGTATCCCATGCACACATCGTTATTAAGCACCGCGTTTTTCATACTATAATTATATATATAGTATTTAATAAAGTCTACTTCGGATTTTTTTTACAAGAGAAATGTTTTGGGAGGAGAGAAGAGATAGTTTGGGTTCAAAAGTAAAGAGCACGTGTCTCATCACAAATGGTCTTTTTTTTTTTTTAATTTATTTTGTGATATATATAAAAATATATATTTTATTATTTATTTTGTTTTAGATATATATGTATTATATTAATCAAGTAATTTTTTATCTTAATTTAAGAAACTTATATTTTAAGCTCCATATAAAATGTCAATGTAACACTCTTTATTGGATTTTTTTTCCTTTTTTACTTATTTTGATTTTTTTAATTTTTTCATTTATCCTTTTTTTTGTTTTTGGTATTTATTTTTAAAAAAGTTAATTTTATGAGAAATGAGGCCAATTAAAATATCCATATTTCATTCTTGTTTTTTTTTTTCTTTCATTTCATCTTTTTTAATTTGATTAAATTTTGCAATATATATATATATATATATATATTGTGGATAGCCAAACCAAGCAATTCAAAACATGACACTAAAACAAAAAAAAAATGAAAGTGAGACAGGATTACAATTTTAGTAAAAATTATATATGCAATTAATAAAAATAAAAAAATTTTGTGTCAACAAAAATAATAATATATAATTTTCGTATAAAATACAATACAAATATATAAATTTTTACTATTTTATATGATATAAGTATACGAATTGATAAATATACTCATGGCAAAGCATGGGCAACTTTCTAGTATATATAACAAAGTACATGCATATACAATAAAAATAATAAAATATAGCATTTATTATTAACTAAATAATATTAAAAGCAATATGTAGAAAAAAGTGTGGTTGAGAAGTCAACATAATTATTTGCTACAATTATTCTTCCGATATTTTGAGAAACATTTTCATCAAAATTTCTTAATTGATGGCTTAAAATCTAAATTAAACCCTTTAAACATTAGTCATAGTACTAAATGAATCCCATAAAAAATAGTTAAGGTCTCGAATACCTAAATTAAAGTTAGTTGAAGATCTAAACAATGAATCCCTAAAAGAAAAAGCCCAATTAACCCAAAAATATATTTTGAAAGCTAAAAGTGATCCTTAATTATATAATCAAAGACCTCAATTATCCTCAAAATAATATTTTATGCCACATCTTAGTTGGCACAAAATTATGCACCAAAATCTTGAATGATTCTATTAAATTAAGTTGGGATAACACAAACACATCAATTAAAGTAAATTGAAGTTCTAAATAATCCTTAAAAAAAATACAAAATAGCCAAATTAACCAAAAAACATATGTTAAAAGTCAAAAGTGATCTTAAATTATATAATTAAATATCTCAATTACCTTTCAAATCAAATTTTAATTGACATTGTATAAATGAGTGGGGATAACTTTAATATATTGTATAGATAATTAAAAATGTTATAGTCATAGTATGTTAATTTTCTAATCCATCAATAATCAATATACTGTCTTCTTTTTGGCCTTTTCCGTTTCATTTTTCTTTTAACCTTTTACAAGTTGCTGCCAAATGAGTAGTGCTGCCAAGAAAAGTAGAGGAACGAACCAGGTTTGTTCTCCATTACGCATGGAATATATATATATATATATATATATATCTCAAAGGACTAATAAAATTATCCAACTTCAAACCAAAAAGACTTGGAATTCTCCACTTATTTTCAGATTGTGGGTTAGTCATCATATGCATGCTAAGGAATATATATTACCAATATATCAGCAAATTAAGTAAAATAGGGTCTAATCAAGCTGAGGAATTACTTGAACTGGCCATATATATCATATCAATCGGTAATTGGCCACGACAAAAGAAATGTTCCGACCCGAATATGATCCGAGCTAGTGAGTAAAGAGGTGAAGGAGGTTCATATTTACATATACGAACCTCACAAAGGAAATGTTCTAATTTGGGAGAGAATCTTCTTACCTTCCTTCCCACTTCATTAAAGTTAGTAGCAGAAGAAGATTCCCGGGTCTTAAGCTCCTTTATCATTTTTTTGTATGGGATTTTCGCCTTTAAGCCTTTTGTGGGTTGTGTTCCCTTAATTTAGAGTCGTAGAATTGGAACTAAGATATTCCTTTCTTAGAGGCAAATATTATATTCTTTTGTGATGAATGTTGTTTCGTTTTAGATTAGATATTCTCTCTCTTTCTCTGAATTGCACTCAATTTTAGGGCAATTATGCAACTTTTGAAACCATAAAGAAAGTTGCATGCATTGGTGGATTGATACTAAACATCTTCTGAATATGTCCTTTTTCTCTCTCCAATATGGTGGGTAAAAATTACTAAAATGTTAACAAAAATATGTAAATGCAGGTGTAGGCTCCTTTGCAATTTTTATTAATTTTATTTTTTATAAAAAAGACGAGAAAAGATTATATGTATTGATATTTAAGTTCCAAATTTATTAAACATTACTTTTTAAAAATAATCATATAAATTAATTAGATTAAATTTTATAAAGGTTGTTTTCCATTAATTAATCTTTAATGAAGATGAAATTTTAGGTACCAATGCCTTTATTAATTTCATGCCGTACACGTGTCCAACATCCGATGTTTGTTTTGGTGATTGGAGGATCTTTCCAAGGTAAAGCTAAACAAATTACAAATGTGAATTGGATCCTAAATTCCTAATAGTTACTACCATATAGCATTAGTATTATCCAACCATTTCTTTTGACTTTTAATTCTATGTGGCTGTTGCTATCGATTTTACTTCATTTTGGGTCCCATTGGAAATGGTTCTAACCCCTTTTGATGCCCTCTAAGCCATCCATGGATTCGTTATAATCTTGTTCAAGTTAGACAAAATTGCGGCCATTACATATAATAATTTAGCAATATAAAGAACAGAATTGCTTGACAATTGAATTTTGAACCAAATTGATGCTTTAAATATGAACAACTTTCAAAAATCCCACACCGTTAAATGAAGTTTTGGTTTTTTTTTCTTTTGTTGTTTAATAAAGTAAGAGAAGAATCAAAGGTTAATACTAGCTTCCTAACAACCAAAAGTAAATCGGAAAAAAAAGTACAAACAGCGATAAGAAGAATCATCTTTTGTATTGGTGATTTTGAACTTCGTACACAGACTAAGCACATGACTCTTTCCTGTCAGAGCCTTGTTGATTCCCTTCTCTCTCGATCTCTAATTTTTTTTTTTAGCTTTTTCTGCCTTTGTTCTTTGGAAGAAGTTACCATTCCCTCTGCTTTATCGCCTCTCCTTAATTGGCTTTTTCTTTTCTCCTCTCTTTCTCTCTCTAAAACCCCTACTTTATTCCCCTTGAACTCACCCGTAAAAGAGACGATCCTCCCCTTCGAATCCTCCTTGTGTTCACAAACAACATACCTTTCCTTTCTTCCTATCTCTCCTTCTCTCTTTGAACTCAAACCTAGAAAGCAAAGCCGACTACACTCTCTCTTTTGCTCTCTTTTGTTTGTTTTTGCATACAAACAAACCTTATTATTTGTTGTTGCATACAAACAAACCATATTATTTGTTGTTGTTGTTGTTGTTGTTATAGCATGACCAATATTGTTCCAAACAACAACTTTTGCTGAGTAAGAGATATTATAAGTTTCTTGCTGTTTTATTATACATCGAAAAGAAAAGGAGAAAATATGGCATCACCTTCTGAACTATCCCTTGACTGCAAACCCCACAGTTATTCCATGCTATTGAAATCTTTTGGAGATCAGCAGATTGATCAAACCTGGGGGCTTGAAGAATTCCTTTCTCGTCTCGAGGAAGAACGCCTCAAGATCGATGCTTTCAAGCGCGAGCTTCCCCTTTGCATGCAACTTCTCACCAATGGTACGTATCAATATCATCATTTCTTTTCTTTTTTGGGATTCATCTTTCATAAACAGAAAAAGGTTTAGCATATATTTAGGATCTACTACATATATGCTAGGATTAATTTTACCTTGGATTCTTAATATTGTTTTTATAAAAGGGTTTTGTATATAACAGAATCATCGTGATCACCTTAAGATCCAAACTTTTTCTTTTACCGCTATCTTTTTGATTTATAGAAGTTAGGGTTAGCTTTATATTTGTATATATTTATTTGCTAGTCAAATCTCTTTGAATTCAAAGGGGCCCGATATATGCATACATTTTCTAAAAAATCTAAATTGCATTTATTAATAATTGTTTTCCCTTTTTTTTTTCTTCAGCTGTGGAGGCTTCAAGACAGCAACTACATGCATACCGAGCAAATGAAGGATCAAGACCAGTTCTTGAAGAATTCATACCCCTCAAAAACTCAAGCTCGGAGAACTCAGAGAAATCACAAACCATATCTGATAAAGCTGACTGGATGACAACTGCACAACTATGGAGCCAAGCAGGAAACGAATCGAAACCACAGCCCTCAATTACATCACATAAGGAAACTGATATCGGTTTCAATGTTAGTCCCAAGTTGGCCTTAGATACCAAGCAGAGAAATGGAGGTGCTTTCCTTCCATTCTCTAAAGACCGAAACTCATGCACTGCTTCGGCTTTACAGCCTCTCCCTGATCTTGCTCTTGCTTCTGTCAATAAAGATGTGGAAGATAAGAAATGTTCAGAAACTGAAAATGGGATATCTTGTCAATGGAGGGAAAACTCTGGCAAAGTTGGTAATGGTGGAATTGTGATTGAGCAGGGCAAAGGAACCGGCAATACAGCTGATGGGCAAACAACAAATACCAACACTAATACAAACACTACTCAACCTCATAGGAAGGCTAGGCGATGCTGGTCTCCTGACTTGCATAGGAGATTTGTCAATGCTCTCCAGATGCTTGGTGGTTCTCAAGGTATCAACAAATTTTTCTTTTGATTTTGATCATCATGTAACTGAATTCAGTATGAACGTCAAGCTATCATTATCAAAATCATTGAGTCTGGTCTGATAATATTTTGATGATGATTCCAGTTGCCACACCAAAACAGATCAGGGAGCTGATGAAGGTTGAAGGTTTGACCAATGATGAAGTGAAAAGCCATCTGCAGGTAACTCTCTCTCCACTGAGGCATGCAAGGGCATGCAAGAAAGAGCTTTTGTAGTAAACCTGACACAGTACCAACACTGCACCCAATGTCTGATAAATAAGTTAATAAAAAGAATGTCGATGCAAATCTTTTAATCTTATAAGTGATGATTTCCTTTTGACAGAAATATAGGCTGCACACAAGGAGACCGAGCCCAAGTCCACAAGCAGCAGGAGCCCCAACACCCCAGCTTGTTGTCCTAGGTGGCATCTGGGTCCCACCAGAGTATGCCACTGCCGCTGCAGCCGTCCACAGTGGAGCCCCGACCCTGTATGGCGCTCACCACCCAGCAGCTCCCCATGCACCACCTCACTTCTGTGCATCACCTGTTCCCCAAGAATTCTACACTGCGGCTGCAGCTGCAGCTGCAGCTGCAACCCCAGCTCCACCTCCACCTCAGCTGCACCACCACACTCTCCACCACCAACTCCACATGTACAGGGCCACCTCACAGGCCCATAGCTCACCGGAATCCGACATCAGAGAAGCCGGAGACCGTTCAGAGAGCATTGAAGATGGCAAGTCTGAGAGCAGCAGCTGGAAAGGTGAGAGCGGCGACAACGGTGGCGATGGGGATCAGAGAAAAGGTTTAGCTGCATTAAGAGAAGAAGGCGAAGAAAGCAATGGAAGTGAGATCACTCTCAAATTCTAAGAGAGTTTTAGGGTTAGGCTTTAGATATTACATGTAATTTTCTACTATTATTTTCAAAAGAAAAAAAAATCTAAAAATTTTTAAGTTAAATGTTAAGAGAGGGTAAAAATGGCATAAAGGAAAAGTGAGCGTTTGTTTTGTTCTCAATTGACGTCCTTTTGTGCTTCAACGTCTATTCGGGAAAAGATTGAACATTGGCTTATTTGTTTTTGGCGTTTCCTGTGGCTTTTCTCTTTTGGCATGAGGACAGATTTGCCCTTATCTTTTTCCAGATAAGGCTAAAGACAGATGAGGACGCGAGTTCGCACTGTCTTTATTGCAACACAAAAATTTCCATCAGAAGACCGACGATCACTGTTTATATTAGATTTTTTACAAATAAAAAAAAATTTAAGGAGTCTGATACTTACACTACTTAAAAACACTTCTTAAAAAATAATTGTTAAGATTAAAATGTATTTTTAAAATTTATAAATAGATAATGAGATTTTTTAATATAATTTTGAAGAGTATGTAAACATTTTTCAAAAATCAATCATGTGATAAAATAGGATTATATGGATAAAAGCATACATATTGATAGATATATAATTGAATCATTTTTCTTATTTTAGGAAGTGAAAAATCGAATCCTATTCTTTGAATGGGAGATTAGGCATTCATTTCTTCTGGCAAAAAAAAAAAAAAAGGAGATTATGCATTAACAAGATAATTTAAAATGCCGGAGTTACGAGAATTATATCACTTGAAATATGTGAACAATGACATGAAAAACTATATACTTCCATTCATGATTGAAAGTTTATATATTGGAATGGTGATTTATCTGCATAAAATTAAAAGGAGCTTAGATTTGTCCCTAAGATTAAGGAACTGAAATTTTGATTTTAAGAAAAAGAGGCACCGAAAGTGTTAAATCCCTTTACACCTTAGCCAGTATTCCAGTCCCTAGAAATAAAATAAAATAAAACTTCCTTGAATATACATATGTGAGCCTAACGTGCTCTTTCTGATCATTGCCTTTTCTTGTTTAATCTCAACAGTGCCTTTAATCTTTGACCAATAATACATGGGACATTCAACATCAACTTTCTTGTTTAATGCATCGACCTGGTCTTCAGCATTTCCGAGGCATAATTTTGTATATACGATTATTACTTCCTGATAAGATAACTTTCTGTCCTCGTATTCATGGTCTTGTTTTTCAGCTGGCATAAGTATAAAATAACCCTTTGCAGTAAAATTAAATAATCTTCAAAAATCTTATCCATTTTACTGCAATTAATTAAACTCTCAAATATTTATTAAATAAAAATTAATTAATTGTTAGAATTCATTTTTATTTAATTAGGATTCAATTGGATAAAAATATATGTTTAACACTTAAATTTGATAAAAATTAATATTCAAAAATTTAATTAGATGAAAATAAATATTTAAACTCTTAATTGATTGCAATAAAAGAATAAGATTTAAATAATTATTTAGCTTTTATTTAGGAGTTTATATATATATATATATATATATAGGGCTTTTTAATTCAATTGTCCACACCACGGGACACGCTGCCTTCGTCTTGGATAAAGACGTCGGTCCAACAAAACATCTTGGGCTGGGCATATTAGCCGACCTGCAGGTAAGCACTCATCTTATGGGGTGTTTGGTGAGCGTTGGGCAACAGGCCCAAAGCCCCTAGGTCGACCAAAAACCATCCTGGTCTTAATAACAAATAATCCATTCAAAATAGAATTTACACCATCGGATTATATGATATTACATTAATAAAGAACAGTATGGCCTTAATAACATTCTAAATATCAACACATATACATCTAAATCAAGGAGTTATTTTAATGCTAGTTCAATCTCCTCATGCTCTATCTACATAAAGTTATAAGTAACCCAATCAAAAGGTAAAGCTGCGTGTGACATCTTTAAACAAATGACATATCAGAGGATTAGTGAACTTCATCACGAAATCATGCTGTGCCGTTTGCCAAACTGCCACCCCGTACAGCCACATCATCTTCACTCTCTAGCATTGCTGAATCAACCAGCGACTGCAAGGTAAAGTTTAGAGTTAATATAATGAGTGCTATTTTTTCTTTTATGAATGATTCTACAATGCTGCTTTTATCCTCGGTCTGTGGTCCTTGGATAATGAGTGCTACTGATGCTTTTATCACCATGAGGAAACTCAACACTACAAATAACTATTCAGTTACCTTGTTTCAATACCTAAAATACAGAACTAAGATCTATTTCCACCTATAAAGATCCACATAGTACAAGGGTAGAAGTATCAATCGTATGCAAGTTCCAAATAATGGGTAGTATGCAATATTTATCTTAGCAATGCAGCAAGAGTCACCAACAAAAAATTTATATATATGACAAACAATAATATGGAATTAATATGGAATCATGTCCTTAAAATACTAACACCACCATTCAAACAAGCATATGTTAGGCTCCAGAGCATGTTTCCAACAAGACAACAGAAAAAATAATAAATAACAAGTGCAAGTAAATCATAATCAACAAAGTGAAAAGGCTTGCCTGAAGTTCTTGTTCACAGCTTTTAAGTTTTTCTCTATACTCCTTTACTTGCAGGAAACGTTTATGCAGCTGCAGGCCATTCATTTAAAGTTAAAGTTTGTGTACCAAAGAGAAAAGGTTAAAAAATTACTACAACCCTATGGCAGTAGAGTATTTCAGAGGATTACCTTAGTTAACTGCATTTTGCGGCATGAAGACAGCTTCTTTGCGGCAACCAATGCATCCTCCAGGGTCTGTATGCATTTATCAAATTCTTAGTAACAAAATGAAGGAGGCCAAATAAACTGAAACCATGGGTAATATCATTAAGATACCTTAGATTTTTTCTGTAAATCCAAAACAATTTGTTTTGTCTCTTCTAACCTCCCTTCCATCAGTGAAATCTGATCAGGCAGAAAATGTTACTTGTCTTTTCCAACCATTATGCAAGCATGGAAATGAAATATATGTGTGTGTGTGTGTGTGTGTGTGTGTGAGCATGAGGATAAAATAGACCCCAACAAATGAAGGGCTGGTTGGACTCTGCAAAAACAATTTGAAAAGTGATATTCTTACTCTAGTGATTGCCATGGTGGTGCAAGTGCAAGAGCGTGTGCAAATTTAACAAATGCATTAGAATGCGCCAAAATGCTATAATATCCATCTAGCTACACAACATTTCTTAGAAAATCAATACTAAAGTCCAAAGATGTAGCAAACCTCTGTTTTAAGTTCTTCACGGTTTTGAATTGATCTTTCCAGTTCTTTTTTCATCTGGAAACAAAACACAATTAACCAAAGGATTACAGGATAACGTGAGTATACATCAAAACAAAAGCTGAGGCTACCTGATTGTAATCATCACTTGAATCTGATGAAAGCCCTCTGCCATGTTGATCATTGCTCATAGAGCTGCAAAATTGATAATTAATGTAAAAGTCTTCTTATATATATATATATATATATATATATATACTTATATATATATATATATGTAGAGAGAGAGAGAAAGAGAAATAAAACTCGTGTCACTGTCAAAACTGGAGTGATTAATCTGAATAAAAATAATGAAACTCAGCTCATATGAGAACAAGGTCAAGAAGCCATGAAGAATTAATAGAAAGATAGTGAAGAACTCCATTACTGAATGTATATTGTGAAGAAAAACAGTAAGCATTACAGCCTCCATTGCAAAGAATTCTTAAAAAAAAAAAGGTGGGTAGGCAGGGTCTTACCCATTCCGTCTCCTCAGTTGTTGCTCCTTGTCCTCATCAACATTTCTAGGATAACCATTGGCTCCAGAAATCTCCCTATGTTGATCCAAATTCAGGTCATGTTCCATCTCCCGCTCATGAATATGGTCCCTGCTTTCTGCGTGCACATTATCCTCCACATCTCTGTCATGATCTCTATCCAATGAATACTCCCCAGCTCCATCATGATCGTCATGCTCATATCCTCTTTCTCTTCCAGAATCATGGTCCCAAGACCAATCGTGTTCTCTGGACCTATCGCTATATCGATCCCGATACTGTTCTCTATCATGACCATAATCTCTTTCTCTATCCCGCCCCCTATCCCACTCACTATGTCTAAAGCGGTCTCGATTGAAATTCGATCTGCCCCCTCTGGTGGTCACTTCATTCACTCTCACAACTCGACCATTGATAGTCTAATTACAATTTCAAACAATGTCAAATCTACAAGTTTCAAAACAAGAAAGAACCGAATCATAACCATGCTCCATGGAACCACAAGCAATACATACCCTGCCATTCATGTCGTTGATGGCATCACAAGCTGAACGAGGATTTGTAAAAGTAACAAAGCCATAGCATTTTCCTCTAGTTGTATGATCATTGACAATCTGCGAGACAACCACATCAACAAGCTTTGATTTTTCAGAAAACCCTAATGCTAGCTTAAGCTGAAAAAAAAAAAACTTTAGACCAAACAGAAAACAAATATTTCCTTTAAAGAAACAGGGACAAACATTACTAAAATTCTAGAAACAATAGGTAAAATAACAGATAACAATTTCATTTCAGGGAAATTTCATCCGGCGTTCCCAAACAATAATACTTGGAATTATTTAAAAAAACAAAAAACTGTAAAATTACTAGAGATTTTTATTAACTATCTTGCTGTTAAACTCTTCGAATTAAAAAAAGAAAAAAAGGTCAAAAAACTAAGAATCAATAATAGAATCCCTAAATGCATAAAAGAAAGTTAAACAGTGACGATTCAGAGGAAAAGCGTGTAGGTCAAAGTCAACGGAAAGAAGAAGACCTTAACGGCGACAACGGCACCGTAGAGGCTGAAGACACGGCTGATTGAGCTTTCGGTAGCGTCATAGGGAAGTCCTCCAACGTACACCGAACTGTCGTCGTCGATCGTCATTTCCCCACTTTTACTCTAGACTAAAGCTTCAATTTTTCAGGGCCTATAGAAATACAAAGGGAACCTCTCTTTTCTGTCTTAAATTGTTTAATATTTAAAATTTTGAACTGCTTTTATATATTTTTTTTTTTTAAAAAAGGCAAAGTTGACCTTTGCATTTTTATTTTTTTCGGTAACAATGCTATATGTAACAACTAAAAATTTTCAATAAATTTCTAAAAAAATAATTTTTGCTTAATAAAATTATAAAACACATAACAACATTAATAAGGAATAAGTATATATTTTTTATTTTTTATATAAAGAGGCCGTGATTTTAGAGGAAGAGAAAATATCAAAAATACTAAAATTTTAATATATCATTTTGTAATTATATGAATAAATTGAATTAAAATATTTTTTTTAGTTTATTCTTATTTATATGTTCAAAATGTGTGCTAAACTTAATGTGAATGTATGATAATATAATAATTCTTATTTATATATTTATTCTCTTAGGTTGTAAATACATTGAAATTCAAGAACATTTTTTATGATAGCGACAACGATACATTGCTAAATAGGGCTTAGTTTTGCGGCTAAGAAAAATGGGTTAGATTAGAGCATATAAATTTGGGTGAAACGGAAACAAAGAAACTTGACAGTCGAGAGGAAGAATTAATGAAATAGTAGTTTTTCAAGGCTTTTTTTTTTTTTTTAATGTTCAATGAAGCTAGAAAACGAGAGTTTGATTCTGATGAAAGGCCCAGGTTTTGGACCTCCAATTCCCTTTGTTTCAGTTTCGTTGATTAATGACTACTTGTCTGATTATGATTCTGCAGGACGATTGTGGGGCTGAAGGATGATGTGAGAAAAATTTTTTGACATTTGAAATGGAATGATATGGAAAAGATTAAGGTATTCTGGAACTTCTTCAATTCATTTACATAACAAGCTTTATATTTCAATGCATGAATAACTCATCTTTAAGTAGTATTTCTGTACTTCTACTGCTGCCTCATGATTTGATATCACATTGATAGATGTGCTGTGACATAGATTCCTTTTTTTTGTTCTCATGGTTGAATTCTGCCCTTGATAATGGGAAGAAAGGCTCAAAACAGCATTCTTGACATATTCTGCAGGTGTATGGAACTCCACTGATGTTGTGTAAGAAGTCTTGGAAAGAAATTTTATAAATTGTCACCTGCAGCCGATTTTCAGTAATGGATTATCTTCCTTGGCAGCAATTTTTGAAGACTGATGCACATACACACAAATATATATAGAGATACATATAATTGCAAACTTTTTTCTTTATTGAGAAGTGATTCCTTGTCACAGGTATAATGCTTTGAATAACTGGTTCAGATTCCGAATTTGAGCTACTCTTATTATAATTAATAAAAAAATGCAGCAAACCGATGCTTAGTTCATGTTATCTTAGCTCAAAAGGCCTTGCAGTTGCAAGTCATACTCCGATGTTACTCGAGAACCATGGAGGTTAGCATATTAGAGAACCCTTCTGGTGTTTAGGACTGTGGAAATTGCTGCAGGAAAATTTGGCTCAATGCCAGTAAAACTAAGTTACTGTATGTATCTTAATCATCCTGTTGCTATATTTACTTAGTAGCATAACTAGTTAATTTCATCTTAGCATCTAGGAGTTGTCGGGTTCAGACACAAGTCCGTAAGGTTCCTAATCAAGGTTTCATGTGCATAAAGAATTTGCTTGTCTTTTCGACATCAGAGCTGTTGTCTCCTAGCTGCATTTTGGAAGGTAGCTTCTGTTCCGAGTGTGATAATAGGAATTAGGGAGAAATGGGTATGATTTTGTCTTTATGTTTGCTCTCTCGGGGCGGCACCCCCTATCTATTAAGTCTAAAACCTTACCAACCTAAAAAGAATTGTCACCTCATGCTCTATGCTTTGTTCTTGTTTCACTATTGTTCTTATGGGCAATTTCACCAGAACGCCTAACCAACTTGGGGTAAAATAGGTAAAAAAGGGAAGATTTTGGTGAACTGAAATCTGCACCAATCGAGGCAAAAAGCTGAGACTCAAGAGGGAATTGCCAAAAGAATGTACTGAAAAGTGATGGGCTAGGTGCCTAGGCCTAAACTCTATGTAGGCTTCGGCAACATATAAACTGTGGTCCTAAACAGAAGCAGAGGCAACCAGCGGTAAAAGAACACAACAGAACAGCTAAAACAAGCCATAAACATGGAGGAGAACAGAATCTGGCAGCATTCTTTGACCTAGGAAGGGTATAATTCAGAGGATTGCATGAATTTGTAACCGTTTTGCTGTATTAATTAAAAACATGTTATAATAATTTTTGTAATTTTTTTAATTTTTAAATATAAATTTTAATATCATATCAACCTATAAAAATCAATAAACCCATGTTTTATGTTGTTTACTACAACATCAAACGAGGTCACAAAATTGATATCCCATTTTTTACGCTCTCAATGTTCCACAAAGCAACAAAATAGGTAGAACAGTGGATAAACATGAAGTTGATTGGGGTTTTCTTGTCTCCACTACAAAATGATTACAAAATCTATCAACCAGTCATCGGTCACAACAGTGTGCATTTCTTATCTAATCGTTGGTAGCAAAAGGAATGTCGGTGAATAGGGTGAAAATAAATAAATAAATAAATAAAAGCTCAAACAGTATAGTTAATACACGATACAGTAAAGCGTTTTACCCATCGTGGTTTTGGTATCAATCGTCCCTTTCCACTAGAAAAAGACAAATTGGGTATCATTTTTATACGTCTTATCCTTAACAGTGTTTAGAAAAGGAAATCTTGTAGTCCAAAAAATGCAGGTTTTTCCCTTATGATTTTGAATATGTACTGCTGTTGTAATGGAGCATCTTGTTCCCCATTGGTTTAATGGACTTTTATGGTGGGACTGGGATCAATCACGACAACAATTTTAGTCTTTCTAAGCGTAACTTTTAATCCCAGCATATTGAGATTGTTGTTTCACTAGACTTTTTTTCAACATTTCACATGTCTCAGGTCGGGTTTATGCAAGCTTTTTGATGGAAGTGTTTGGTCGTCTTCAATTGAATGAAATAGACTTGTTTAAGAGAAGGGGGGAATTGGGGGTTGGGAGGGTGATTGAAGCATATATATATATATATATATATATATATATATATATAATCCTTTTGCAATTATTTCATGAGAGCAATTGGAATTTAGCCCTTGGCTCCCCTGAATAATGATGCCAATTTTTTATATTGTAATTATGTTTATATTGCTAGTACCTTAATTTGTTTTAGGTTTAATATACACTGCATTAGGACATTTGGATTTTTTTTTTAATACAAAAGATATTGTAATTTAAAAATAAAAAATAAATTACAAATATTAAAATTTAAATTTATCGAATACAATATTTTAAAAATAATTATATGAACTTTGAATTCGTTGCACCTAATTATTTGTTCAAAAATATATGTTGCTTCAAAAATTAAGTTTAAATTGTTCATTCAAAATCAAAAAATTATACATATATATATATACACACACATAAAGAGAAATCAACTTACACAGTATAAAATTTTTTTAGTTTTACATAATTTTTAAATCATTGATTTTAATGAATAAAAAAAATAAAATAAAATAAAATTATTTCTTTTATTTTTACTCATCTCTCTTATCTATTTGATTTATTAAAATTAAGAATTAAATGTTAGGAAAATGGGGTCCAGTCTCATGTAAGTGATTTTGGATCAAGTAAAGGCCATGGGCCTTGATCTTTTATTTTACACAGAGCCCTAGCTACTTAATAAAAAAGAGGTGGGGTTGTTTTATGTGTGTGTCGACAACCAAGTAGAAAAAGAAGAAAAGCCAGGAAAAGCAGAGAGAGAAAAAAGAGAAGGGAGAGTTGGTTAAACGGAAGTCGATCCGTGGTCCGATTGAGTTGGAACCTTGTCAGGAGGTTTATGAGTCAGAGTTATACATTCTGAACGGTGAAGATCGGGTTTGAAGCTCTCTAGGAATAAATCCAGGGTGTATTTGTTGAGTCACTTATTTGGTGAGATTTCTCCAATTGTTTCTCTAATTGTTGATTAGCTCTAGTTTTAGCTAGAGAAGAACTTTGTATAACTATTATTTGATAGTGAAAATTTTTCTGGTGGCCCGTGGTTTTTTCCCTCTACACTGGAGGGTTTTCCACGTAAATCTTGGTGTGCTTTATTTTTCCTGCGCATTTGATTATTGATTGTTGTCTATTGCTTCTGTATTGTTGTGATTATTGCTTCAGGCGCAACAAGTGGTATCAGAGCGAGGGTTATTTTGAAACATCGATACAGAAGCATCCCAGGATAGAAGTAAATTCTGTTTGAGATCATGGAGGGTGATACAGGTTCCATGATAAAATTGACAGCATCGAATTATTCAATTTGAAAGCCTATGATGGAGGATCATCTATACTGTAAAGATTTGTATGAGCCAGTATTGGGTGATTCGGCTAAACCAGCAGATATGAAAGATGAAAGCTGGAAGAAGCTAGGTAGAAAGACGCTGGCTACAATCAAAAAATGGGTTGATATCAGCGTGTTCCATCATGTAGCGCAGGAGTCAGATGCTCACATTGTTTGGGAAAAATTGGCAGCATTGTATGAGAGAAAAACATGTATGAATAAAGTTATGCTTGTTAAAAAGATTGCAACTTTACAGTACAGGGATGGACGATCTGTTACAGAGCACTTGAGTGATTTTCAAGATATATTTAATCGGATGACTACTATGGAGCTTAAAATGGATGATGAAATGAAGGCATTACTTTTTTTGGGTTCATTGCCAGACAGCTGGAATACTCTAGTTGTGACTGTTCTTAATTCAGCTCCTAATTATAAGGTGACATTGGAGATGGTAAAGGACAGTATGCTTAATGAAGAAGCGAGGCGAAAAGATGTAGACCCTGAGAATCAAGCTCTGGTCACAGAGAACAGGGGTAGAAACATCGACAGAAGTCAGGACTCAAAAGGCCGTGGTAAGTCTAAACATAGATCCAAATCTAGAGGTAAAGTGAAGTGTTTCCATTGTGGTAAGGCGGGTCATATAAAATGAAATTGTAGAATCTTGAAGCAAGAGC